CATTACGTTGATTACGACGAAATGTAAATCCAGCAACATATATACGCCCCCGGGGTGTAATAAGGTTATATCTGCAAAATGACAACCTTTCAGAAAAGAGGTTTAAATATTCCACGAACGAAAAAAATTTGAGGATAACTTTTGTGCTTAAATAGGAGAGTTATAAAATTTCACATATACGTAATTTATTTTATGTACTTGGTTTTTATTATTTTTACGACTTTCACGTGATAAAAGCACTTTTGACGTATGATCACATTTGGCTTTATTATACCGAGGCTACGTACGAGGATTAAATATTAAATGTCGCAAAATTGCAGTTTTCACATGAATTCTACGACCATATAAGAAATTTGAACATATTATACAAGAAAGAAAAAAACAATGGAAGTCCCTTAACCCTCGATTACTACCAGAACCCATCTCGTCAAAACTCAAACAATATTCTTAATTTGAAACGCTACAAAACCTTGATATTAATTGGTCGTAGTTTCAAATTTAAAAAGAAATAACAAATTCTGGATTCTTAGTATAATTTAAACTTTACCCTAATACCATCAATACCTATTATTGCAAGTAACGACGTTTTGATATTACCTATATTGAAATTTCAATCAATGTGCTGCCATCTAGCGGTTCTGAAGGACGATGAATTGGAGCTATTAATTTAGTTCTCCAAAAAAGAAGCAACCATATCGCAGGGCTTTACTTTCGTTTCTTGTAACAAAAAAATATTTCCAAAAACAGAAAATTGAAAATTTATTAAAATAAGACTCCGATGATATGAAATACCACCACGGGTAATATTTTTGGTGCTGCTATCATTTTTGCACTCCGAAACAGCACAATAAGGTATTTTTCTAGGATTTTAGAGAATTTGCACGTAAGAATGACACAACGATACCATACAAAGCTAAAATGGCGGACTGAGGTCAAATAGGTCTTTTGAGACGTATATAGTTGACAAGCGTCAGACGCTAACTAATCACTTCTACTGTAGGTATTTATTGAGTCGTTTTGTAGGATATGAACATTCCTTCAAAGGCTATTTCAAATTAAAACTTTTAGAGTATTACTCAATGGTAGATTGAAAACGATACTTAGGGTCATATTCCAGAACTCTACTCAATACTCAAGTCAGAACTTGAGTATTGCAGTGAGCACTGAAAATTATACTTAAGTCCTTGCCATTAGGGTCGTATTTCCAGTGCTTTAAATCAACTCAAGTGTGCTCAAATCCTAACTTGAGCATTGAGTAGAGTTCTGGAATACGACCCTTAGACTCATTGACTTAGTATTTTGATTGAAATTAGTAATACAAATATCGAACATCTAGAAAAAATTCCTTCGATCCGGCCGGATTCGAACCGACGTGCTTCATTAAGCCACGGAACGAACTAGCGGATCTCACGAATTTCTCTAGGTGTTTGTTTGTCGGATCTTTGTATTTGGTTTTCAACGTCTTTTTAGCCGTAGCGCTATCTATGAAAAACCTATGAAAGTTTTTCGTCAATACAAAGATCGAACACCTAGAAAAAAATCCTTCAATCCGACCGGATTCAAACCGACGTTTTCTAGCAAACCGTGTCAGACACTATGCCAATCAAGCCACGGAACGTACCAAGAACAAAACTAACTAACTAACAAAACTAGTGGAGTAATTTCACACAAAATAATTGAATATCATGGTGGTGAAACATCCTGACATTCAATAAAATATTTAATTAAATTAAAGTTTAACTATGTGGTAGTTTCTATGGTTTAGTATCAACTATAATACAATTACAATAAGGTTTATTATATTAAGTTTTTTTATGTATGCAACCGTTATACACAAAAAAATTAATGCCACTAAAACTTAACTAAAACTTATTGTAACTAAGTGCCACTCAGAGCTTTAAATCGCAAAGATCTTAAGGGCACTGCCACTGCGCTCTTCACCCTGAGACACAAGTTAACAAATCCTATTTACCTGTAATTTCACCAGCACCCTTACCCTTCCAAACCGGAACGCAGTAATGCAACTCTACTTACTTCCAAGTCGACTGAAAGCGTCCGGTCTGTACCAAACGAAAAGGGCAACTGAATAAAGCTCGACGACAGCCGAAATACAAAGTTTGCCGAGAGACACTGAGAAAATAGAAGCACTGTACATATTGATGGGTGATAAGGTAACAGAGGTATTATGAGCTGACTTATACTGATTAATTGAGTGGATGATTGTCGTAAACTTGTTAAATGTTAGCTATTGTTATCCCAAATAAAATAAAAAAAAATTTATTTTATTTTAATTTGAACATCAAAAACTATAATGTAATGTCTTTTTTTATATATTTGTAATGTGTTTTGTATAAATTATTATTATCTTATTGTTATAAATTACACGATATCTAAGAATTATCATAAATAAACATTATACAAAAGGTACATAACGTGGAAAAGCAATGGCGTTAAACCCGAGCCGATATATATGTGTATATATATGTATGTAAATATACATATACATATATATATATATATATATAATACAATATATATATATAACCAATTTTGAAAACATTTATGTCACTCCTCCGTGACAATCTCTGAAACTAATATTTTTCATACTCTTCGACAGCGTCTTCAGGTGATGAAAATCGTTGACCACGTAACTGGTTCTTGATTTTTGGAAATAAATAAAAGTTATAAGGTCGGGACCGTACGCGGACGGTTCATAAGGACAACGTTGTTCACCTTCAAAAATTCATTTGTCTGTCAGGTCGTGTGAGAACTGGCATTATCGTGGTGTAAGATGATACGACGTTTACGGATATTTTTACGGAGTTTGTCAATAGCTTCCGGCCGGCAAACAAATGGTTGTATACCAATCATTATTCACGGTACAATGATTCTCCAAAGCAACAGTAGCCACGTGTCAAGTTTTATTGAAAAAAGGAGCAATCATCCGCTTATAGGTACTTTGCACGCGCGCCACTTTGGTTGGTTTCGGCTCATCTTGAAAGACCCATACGCTCGATTGCTGCTTTGTTTTGGGATAGTAACTATAATCCATGTTTCGTCACCTGTTACTATTCCCACACCAAATTTGACTCCCCTTCATTGAATCTGGTAAGCATGGCATTGCACCAAGTGACGCGAACCGTTTTTTGAGCCTCAGTCAAATTGTGTGGGTTCCACCGAGAGCACAGCTTTTTCACACCCAAATGTTTGTGTAGTATTGATTGTATTTGACTCATGCCTATGCCTAAGGACGTTCAAATCTTATGGTATGTCACATGCCTGTCTGTTTTGATCATACGGTGCACAGCATTGATGTTTTTGTTGTTCACAGCAGTGGACGGGCGACCATCACGAAATTCGTCAATGAGATTCACACGACCGCGTTTCAATTCTGCAAAGCAGCTATAAATAGTCGTATTGCATGGTACTTCATCGCCAAAATCAGTTTGAAGCTGTGCGAAGCCCCGCTGAGCTGTTCAATTACACTTAAAGTCGTAGAAAATCATACTACGAAAATTTTCACGAGTTAAATTCATGGTGATGTAGATAACCAATTTCTAAAATGAGACCACAATATAAAAACAAGTGACAGTCAGATGAAACAAACTGTATTCTACAGCCAAAGAGTTCCAATTTCAAATGTTGTAATTACTTTTTAAATATTGTTTATGTAAGTGGCCAGTTCCGGAAATTTATAATGCGCCCTATGTATATGTATTTACATACGATTTTTTTTTTGGTGATTTCAGAGGCTTTTCCATAATAAACGTTGTTCGTATGAATGGGTAGAATCACCCACCTTCGGATTTATTGCAATTAAGTTAGCACCCTGTATATGTCACTCAGACCACTTAGAAACTAATACTACTAAGTGGGCCGAGTTAAACAAAACAGGCAAAGACATGTAAGCTGCCATAATGTTCTCATAAACCTGCAATTTGTAAGTTCTATGCGACACTATGACATAATAAGTAAGTTCTTTTATCGAGTTCTTAGGTTTTCGCGATTGTTTTACATAGGAAATGAAACTATTTTTCCAGATTTAAATCGCCAACCAACAGTCAACCGTGACCATGGGACCTGTACAGGTCCCGAAACGTCGGTTTGTTTGAAAAAACAAATATACGCGATTTAAATCCGGAAAAATAGTTTCATTTCCTATATGTTCTTTTATTTTTACAATTATAAATATGTATATTTTTAATTGCGACGTCCTACAGGGTCATGTTGATACTATGTTACACATGCAAGCAATAAATATTTTGACTTTGACTTTGACAACACACTTTGCAGTTGGCGGCCGATGGCCTTGAACTGAAGACTCATAACCCGTAGAATACACTAAAACTAAACTTAAAACTACGTGGCGGGCCTGAGGGCGCCCAAGTGGGCACGGACCTCGACTCAGGGTGCTACTGGGGACTTTCGCCAGAAGGGCGTCCTGTAGGAGATAATCTACTAGTGTACGTGCTGAAACGAGGGACTCTGTAACCTCGCCGGCGATAGCGGTTGGTGCGTGTGGAGATGGACTGATTAGCGATCTGGTTGTCCTTCAAATTAGCGAGAGTGATAGGGTCGTCAGAGTCGTTGATGACTTCCCTTGGCCGATGAGTCCTACGTACGCGGTGTGGGTGTTTCCTGGGGGGTCGTAGTTGAATGCAGTCGCCACGAAGTAATTGCCTCTATGCCTGTTTCATGAATTGGGCTATTGTGAGGAGCCGTAAATCTATGTGGAGCGTTACGTAGGTACCATGACGCAGCCGTCACGTTGCGCATGAGTCTATTTTGGAGAGCCTGCAGGTGGTTGATGAGGGTGGGATTCGCCTGTACGACGATAGCGTGCGTCATAATTGGGATGCAGGTCGTCTACAATCTCACCTTATTAAGAAGGGAGAGTTTAAAGTGTCAATCCATTTTGTTTATATCAGCAGCGAGTGGCGGTGGCGCAGGCGCACCGTTATGTGCATGCGCCATTTCTCTGTCAGTACTCGGTCGAACTTCGTACATCTCGCTCGCACGCTAGTGTTCCACATTTGAACTGCTTCTCTATTTCGGACACGTAGTTGTCGTCCCGCTATTTGATATTGTGACATGAGTTTCATGGAATTAATTTGGCACACCGAAACTGGAACATTATTTTGGAGCACAATGTAAAGGTTTTTTTTTTTTGTTTCCTTTTGCAAATAGCGAATTGGTAGCTTACTGTTTATTTTGTTTCTTATTTTATACACTTTCTTTTGTGCAATTCTATTTTCTATACCTAGTTCTATTTGTTTCGTTAAGTTTTAAATCCCGGTACAGTTATTTTCATATAATTTAAATAGATATACTTTGTTAATGCTACCCTAGGAACGAAAAAAGGCACAACTAATATTTTTATTAAAATCTTGTTACATATCTATTCGAAATATAAAAATAATGAGTAAATATTATATTATAAAAATTATATTAATTATGGAACGTGTATTGTTGTGACTTGCATTTTAAATAAATCAGAAAAAGTATAGATTTCTACAAAAGAGAAAAACAATTTACCATTTTTTTTTCTTTTTGTACAAATCTATCTACTGGATATATAGTAAGCGCTAAAAACAAACGTTTAGAGTGTTGCTAATTTTTTATATAAAAAATAATGAGGGTTGTTTTCTTCTAATTTCTATTATTAATTAATCTTAAATTGAACTTAATAAAAATTCATTCAATAAAATAATTTGTAAAACGTAATGTAGCGTAAATTGGAATGTTTGCTTTGTAAAATTAAAAATAAGGCATTCAATTAATAACTTTTGTAACTATAGTGAAAAAATAGGGTGATTTGCTATATATATATTAGATATAACTGATTGAAGTCTGTACCACCTCCGTTAACCGTGACCATGGGACATGTAAAGGGCCTGAAAAGTCGGTTTGTTTGAAAAAACAAATATACGCGATTTAAATCCGGAAAAATAGTTTCATTCCCTATGTGTAACAATCGCGAAACCCTAAGAACTCGATAAGGAGGGTTGTCTTATTAACCAATCAGGTGGCGGTAGAGCGTTTGAATAGCGTCATATTTGATATTTGAATTTTAGTAAAAATACGATGTCTTTTTTTCAAACTCACTTTAGTTCTCTGTACTGGTGTAGTGGTGACCCGTAATTCAGGTTTTTCTATACCTATCTCGGGCACCAGTCTCTCACAAAACAGTCTGACTAATTTTTAGTCTTGTATTAACCTTAAGTTCCCTACTCTAAAGCCTGTTTTGTGATTAAGAAATAAATAAAACATCATTTAATTTCAGTTCTCTGTACTTATAATGAATTTTTCAGTTCAATAGCTAGAACCACAGACAATAGAATTTTGATTTACTAATTTACTAATTGAAGTACAGGAATAGAAAAGGTATGTTACATACATTAAGACTAAAATAATAACGTAAAAATTATTTTTTTCATCCTGCTTTTTCCTTCCTTGACTATACAGTCAAACGAAGACATTTAAATTTTTTATTAAAGAATTCTCGCATAGAAAGAATAATAAAAGTTGGATTACATTTTTTCTTTTTAATATTGTTTTTAGGGCTTTTATCCCAAAATTATGTAGATAAGCTACTTTGAATTACTGAATTGTAATTTTCTGAAGCGAAGCCGTAATTATGTTCACAACTTTATAAATATGAAGTTTGTTCTGGCAAACTTCATCCATTATATTAAACATTCGGAGATAATTGAGTTGTTGATGTAAGTGACATACTCCTTACGTTTTCATTTTAAAATACAATTATTTAATACAATTAGTTAATATCTACTCTGATAATCCCGCTAATATCTAATCTGTTTACAAATTGTCCCTTTTTTGAACTGCAAAGTTGAACTATTATTATTTTTATTGATCATCACTCATCATGATGTTTTTTTTCTCTTCTACGATATTTATTTATTTTTGTGAAAATCTCCACTACTTGGCTATTATTATTAACACAAAGGTCAAACAAACATAATATAGTCCAATCGGAACGAAGGAATGTTAACTTGTTTTTGTTCGATTTTTGTTTTAAGAATAAGTTCCACTTTGTATAAATTGACGTAAGGTTTTTGAGAACGTGAGACTAGAAAAAACTTCAATTCATTATCATAATAGGATATTATATATATATATATTATAACGTATTAATATTTAATAATCTCGATCAACTAATAAATAAATAGGACTTTATTCATCAAACACACACATATTTAATCATAAGCAAATCAGAACGAACTCATATAATACCTACACGTAACTCTGATTTCTATTGCTAAGTTCATGGAAAGGACGAAGCCTCGGCATTGCCGTTTTTCACTCACCGCGTGTGTATTCCACATCGGACATTGTCGGAACACTATTATTAAAATTTTGAACAAAAGGTAACGTAATTCTACTATTGATTTACTAATTACGAGTGATAATATTGTATAGAATATATACATCGAGTATAGAGAAATAGAGACGAAATGTCATTTAATTTGTTTGAAAACTATTCTGCCACATCATTACGATGACAACTGCACTCCGATTGGCCAGCCCGAATTCGAAACTATTGACGGGTGTCGTCAATCGTTTCACTTCAAATCGTCTACTTTAACTTGAGCTTTGCTATAATGGTCAAAAAGTGACCAAGTACATATTAGTATTTAATTACCGGTGAAATGTGCTTCCGTTTGTTTTGTAATTAGATGTTTCATTATTTTTCCCACACCACCGAATGGAACAGCCCCCCATACTTAGATATATTATCTTTATTACAACAAATACAGAATATTTTTGAATATACGGAGACGTACACAGAGGTCAGTTGTTGGCCCTGTACTATTTCTAATTTGTGTGCAAACGAGAGTTGATATTTTAAAGTGATATAAGACCCTTTTGCCTGATGGGTTACCAGGGATATATGGCCCTTATTTCATCTCCATTTCTGTTTATGTACTCGATGAGTACATAGTTACACTACACAAAGAAACACAACAAGCAAAACAAATGAAATCAGTAGATCACTAAGCAGTATCTTGCGCGTTTATGTCGCCCTCGCGCAAGTTCCGCCCTGTCGTGTTAGCCCTACAGGACGACAAAAGTGTACAAATGACTGATACAACAGTCAATATATACATATAATATTACGTGTATTGCAGTGGGCAATTTAAATAAAAAATATTGCGCACGTGTATTTTTATACCGCTGCAATTCCGCAAGATTTACTCCTGCCCTAGCCTAGAACTGTGTTTTGGCCTGATCAATTGCATTATAATACCATCTTAAACGATGAAATACAAAAACAATCAACTAATTTCACGGTATTTGCTGTTGAAATGAAGCAGTATGGACAATATCGTGCTAAGCAATCACTAGAAAGTGAAGTAAAAGTAGAAACCGTTTGGTTATGTGATATTAAATTTTACACTCCAATAACAAATAGTAGTTATCTTCGACTTATTTATTCTATAGGCTGCATTTGTTCAAGCTTATATACATTTATAAGAAATAATATAATAAAAATTGTAGTAACAAACAATTTTACATTTAAAATTGTTTGGAAAAAATTACGCTCATAATGCTACGTTCATAGTTACATCAAAGAATAATTTACCATTACAAAAGAAGTAATTTTGTGAGGAGTGAATTGTTCAAATTATTTCCTGAAATAGTTCATTCTAAGAATTACTTGTTCTGAGAAATAATCCTACGCAATACCATTAGACATAACAAAGTTATTCAATGAAAACTGAGATTATCCTAAATTATTTTCTTTATGAAATATATATATTATTATACAATTACATAATAATATATATTTCATTAATTATCTGATGTGTGTAATCAAAAGAGTCTAGGGATCAAGCACGTTTTTGTCAGTTACCTACTAAAAATAAGTTGCAAACCCGGATTCGAACGCACGACCTTCTACTTGAAAGGCGGTAAGATAGTAATGGTAACCTATCACAAACTCGAAAATTTTTTTGCCCGAAATAACGTTTGTTCGAATTTTCATTTCACCGAAAGCTGAATTATAACGAAACAGTTGTTCTTTGAGGATATGTTGATTGTTTACCGCAAAGACACGATTAGGGTCGATTAAGTTAGGTTTAAAAGAAAACACATTTTCCTCTCAACATTATTTTCGAGGTTATGAAATTTCGAGCAAACGTTATTTCTGGAAAATGTCATTTCAGACTACTGATAGGTAACCGATAGTAATAGTTTTACCATTAGGCTACCACGGCTATCTCTTAAATATTTTAATTAAACTATAGTGTAACTGACTAACACGTACTACATGCAGCGAAATTCAAATAAAATTTTGTAGGTTTTTTTTATTGAAACTACAATATATGTTTTCAAGAAGTGGTCAATTCAAGAAATGGCCATTTCGACAAATGGTCAATTTGAGAAGTGGTCCTTTTTAATTGTGGTCATTTCTCATTGCGGCCCTAAACCGCCAAAAAGATGTGTATTTTCCTTTTTAAATTTTAGTCAATCCATGAAGACAAATCGGACACGTGTTGTAATAAGGCCAATTTTGCAGAATGATAACTATTCAGGAGAGAGGAAAGGTTGTACGAACAAAATTAGTCGACAACTTTTTATACTTACATAGGAGAGTTAGAAAATTTCGCAATCTCATAATTTGTTTCGCGTAGTTCCTATTATTTTATGACTGCGGTACATTTTTGACGTATGATCACATGTTTGTAGCTTTATCATAACCAAGGCTAAAAAATATTATATGGGTAAAATGTAATACGTTTGTGGAGATTGTTTGTTTGTAATTACGCCATGAATGCAATTGCAAGAATTTTGATTTCCTACCTATCGAGGCGCAAACCTTATTTTTCTTATTTTGTTTTTTTCACAGCTTATTTGAGCATGAAAGTTTTACATTTAAATATTTTTTCCCATAGGCTTAATTTGATCCCAATTATCTCCCATCACAGTTCGAAATTCAAAATTTTGCGTTTCGTCACAACTTGCAGAATTTTTTGTTTAATTTTATTCATATTGCCAATGTCAGAATAACACAATTTATAATACAATTGTATTTCTCTGTTACCAGGACAGCATAAAGCAATAAGATGTACCAAGCTGGATGGCTGATGTTGGCAATCGCCGCTGCCCTCGCGCTGCAGTCGCGAGGTGAAGGGGGCATCAGACTGCCTGACCAGCCTCCGAAGGAGGAGAATGAAGGTCGGGCTCTGTTTGGCTCGGATGACCACAGCAGATCGGTAAGAAGCCTTTATTTATTTCAATATACACAATATGACATAATGATAATAGCTCAAGGGTGAAATTCCCACGTTTTTATTTCTTTTTTACCCAAATTAGAAAATTATTTTATCTTGTAGCAGATTATGTATTCTGTCTGTAACAGAGCAAAGAGATTTTACTCCAGGGCAATAGTTTGAACATTTAACCAAAACCAATTTAGACAAATTGATGTCCCAAATGGGTCTTACCGGCAATTGAACCCGACCTCAGCTTGATAGGTTTACCAGTAGAACTAATGTGGGACACGAACTTTTCTAGTTTATTTCTAGTCTGAATGTACTGATGCCCAAATTTGTTCTACAAATATAGACTATAAAGCTAGCAATGTAAAGATGTATACCAAGAGATAAACGATATTGCCACCAAGTTTCATCCAACGATTCAGTAATTACAGATAAAAGACTTAATATACCAAAACGAGAACTACTCACACCTATATTACATTCCTCATTTAATGTGGGCTCTTCTCGTTTCGTTCATGGTTATTACGACTACATAGTATGTAGTCAGACGAGATTATAGATTATTATTATCTCCTCTAGCCTCAATCACAAGGTCGTGGTCTCCTCGACTGGATCGGCCTCGGCGAAGATCAAGACCCATACATCCAGCAATCCACGCAGCAGTGCATCAACGGAGACCTTGCTGACTGCTTTAAAGCCCAGGCATTGCGAAGTTTTGACGACTTTTTCGATAAACAAGCGTACCAGTAAGTATCGCCAACCACATTTACTCTGACCCATAACCAAACCCTGATTGTTGGACAAATGCCTGCCTTACACAAAATTGGATATTACCACACCTATTTATGCCGCTAAGCAGTAATCTGAGCATTGCTGCGTTTCGGTTTTGAAGGTACTGGCGAAAATTCAGCACATGATACTTCTCAATTTTAGGTGTCAGGGTGTAGTGGCAGTCCCATCAGATCTGTAATAATGATTTTTGCAATTTAAAGTTCTGAGTGGCGTGAAACTTGTCACTTTATGTCTTAAAATTGCGGTTGCAAGAGCAACGATCTAAGGGTCGATTTAAGGGTGCTGGTGAAATTACTGGCGTTTGGAATTTGGCAACTTATTCTCAGAGTGACGGGTGCAGTAACAGTGTCCCTCAGATCTTTGCAATTTAAAACTCTGAGTGGCACTGGAACTGTTAGGGACAGGTGTGTCGCTCACCACCGGGCGCACGATTTGTTCGTCCCGTCATTTGATATTATAAAAAAGTAGTCACACAATTTTTGTGCAACCAGCAGTGAATAAAAGAGCAAAATATTATCCTTACTAAAGAAGTCGTTATTTCTATTGATGACTTCGAAAGCTAACTGTTTATTATACTAAAACCGATTCGATTCTCAGTCGAATCGTCCATCTAAATCTGATTACTCAAATGTGGTAACACGAGGCCAAGTAGTTGTTGTAATCGTCTGGTGCAAATTTCTTATGAATATCGTTCTCACTTCCAGGCTATCACAAAATGCAGTCCTGGTAAAAGTGGATTCTCAGGCAAGGGCACTCTCCCATGAACCCCCGGAATTGGCGTCGCAGCCTCGCAGCGAGGATTCCGACTGGGACGCTTTAGTCAAATACGGAATGAGAAAAATTGAAAGGTAAGTTCATCCACTGCATTTTAACTTGCAACACTAAGCGCGTCTGCGCTTTACCTCCGATTGATATTCATTCCAAATCCGAGACTATACAAATCTAGAAAACTCGACCCCGGATATGGCTTGTGCACTAAGTTTAATTCGAATCTGACAAAATACGAATATCACTTGTACACCTAAAGATAAAATGACGCTGATAGGAATCGGACGTAGTAGGCAAAAGCTCTAGGCCACAAATTCGCAACGGTGCGTTCAACATGGGCGTTCAAGGTTTGTATGTACGTATGAATGTACACACATTGCGCGCAAACGTATGGTTTGTGTTGAATACGTCCAACCTTAGAATATTCTAAGCATCCAACATTAAACGTGCACCATAATATCCGCTTCTAACGGTGAAGTTGGTGATTACAGTAGTGCTCAAACATCAAATTAACAAAGCATCGCAAATTGTTTATTAACTTATTCATTACTAGATAATGCCCGCGGCTTCGTCTGCGTAGAATAAGTACTTCGAGTAGACTACCTGTACTATAATAATTTTCATAGTTTTATTGGTTCTCTACGTACTGACTCATACTTGACACTGTCTTAATTTGGTCAAGTATTACATATTGAAAACTGCCTCGGTGGCCGAACGGTTACAATGCCGGACTGCCACGCAGAGGTCCCAGGCTCCATTCCCGGGCCGGTAGAAATATTCGTATGGCCTACATTTATTTCTCTCGTGAATTTGGGTGTAATTTGTGGTTGTCTGTGTGTGTGTCCATGGCACCCGCGACACAGGGATTTCCCTAGTGCGAGTCTATGTTGAGTGTGTGCGTTATTATTTATTATTATTTGACAGCATTGTTTAAGTGAGATATTGGACAGAGAATGAGGGTAGACATGGGGTAGACCCCCAGATCTTTGCGAGTGTGCGTTCACCTTAACGGATATGAAAAGCGTGCTTAAGAATATAAGTGGAAATAAAAACATACACTATGCTTAATTTATTTTGAATTCACCTGTCACCCCGCTAATACTTACAAATTTTCCACACAAGTTTCCACTTAATGCATTTAATAATAGTTCAACGCTATCTTTAGTGGAATTACACATTTCCACTTTTAAACTGACGAGGTAATGTTATCTACTAACGCTGCGAGCATTTCCTTAATCGACCTACATTTTAAAGTGAAATGAAATTTACATAAAGAACCGATTTTGTTTGATATAATTTTAATATATTATTTCCCATGGAATAATGATGAGATTATGACTAAAAATTGATAATGACGTCAGCAGTATTCTTCATTTAGTAATACATGGTAAAAGTTTGCATTTTTGCGTTTTGGTTTATAGTTTGATATAACAGTAGAGCCCCTTGTGAAAGAGTTCCCCAAGGAAGTACTGCCTTACTTATTTCTGCCGCCAAATGATAATGTGAGCCTTACTGCGTTCCGGTTTTGAATATTAAAGGTGCTGTTGAAATTACAGGCACATAGGACTTGTCAACTTGTCTCAGTGTGACAGGCACAAGGGCAGGGCTTTAAATCTTTGCGATTTAAAGAACTGAGTCGCACTGCAACCATTATAAACAGGCGCGTCGCTTACCAACAGGTGCACAACTTATTCGTCCCGTCACTTGGTATTTAAAAAAAAATTGATAATGGGACGAGAGTGCACAATGTTTGGACTTATTTAGTATTTTATACCAATTGTTAACTATTACTCATAAACTTCGTTCTACATCCCCATTTTTATCTTCCCCTTTATGTGATTGATACCTACTGGCTAAGTTCACACTTCATAGCTGTCCTTAATTTCGTGGTTTTTTTAAAAAGCCTATCTATGTTCTAAGAAGTATAGCTATGTTCGCTTTTATTTCAGATCAGTCTAACTCATCTAAAACGTGATCCTGATTAATTTTCCAGATTTTTGCGTTCGACAGCCCTGGAGATGCATTTGGATGACGAGGTGACATCGCGTGGAATCATTGCCCCCAGGTTTATCGATGAAATTGCTGATGAAGTCGACATCATTGAAGATAAGAAAGCGTCGCCATTCCGTGAGAATATTCACTTATACATTACACTAAAACCGGTTATTCAATATACCGATCTAAGACTATTCTTCTTCTTGTCGTATCGATGAAATAGAATAGAATACTTTTGTTTGCCAGAATACAGACCTTAAATTAATCTTAATAATCCGCAAAGCAGGAGCTCAAGGTGACGGACGCAGTGGCCGTGCTCATAATCGTGGCACTGCAACTGTTATGGATGACGCGACTTGGTATCATAAAAAAAAATTAGGTACAATGTATTAAACCTGCAAGCAGATGTGCAAATGTAATGGTATTTATTGTTGAACCTAGGCGAATACAAATATGAATTCGTCAATCTTAGAGCAACGCCACACGGTCGTTGCGTCGGCGTTGCGTCGTTGCACCGCAACACCCCTCTCCACTTCGTCTTCTGTCCCCTTGTCCGATGCGCACGCATTCCATCACCGCTCGCTTTTTCAACGCACCGTGTGGCATGTCGTTCTCATTTATATGTGGTACAACGTCTTACTTATTCATGCCTAGGCTTCGATGATATACTTACCTATTATGAAAAATTACAAGCCTTTACCTGTAAGTGAGAGGTAGAGGACCTTAAAGTCCATATTTTGTAGACATTTTTACAAACATTGCTTTAGAATGCTAAAATTACGCAATAGTAAAAGACATTAAATCGTCGTTTGTTCTTTATTTAACATATTTTATTTGACTCTAAGATCGATTTTTAAATGTCTAATTAAGAGCTAATGAGGCTCTTTAAAACGCTCTGTAAGAAAAATTACTATTTGGCACTTAAGGTTCTTTAACATATGGCACTTTGCTTGATGGTAATGCCGCCGATTTAATGGAATCTTTAGTCTAGTAGTCTCGATGTAAGTAGTTAGAAATAAATATTATAAATGATAAATATGTTCAAAAGTATAAACAAAGAGCAATTCCTAGAGTTTCTTGCTCATTCTCCGCAAGGAATCTGCCTTACGAATGAGCGGCGGTAGATTTTAATCAGTATGTCGACTTCAAGTATAATTTGCTTACCTGTGAAATAAAGATGATTACAGTTTGAATTTTACTCTCACTTACAGATAATATTATTATATATATTCTGAGCAACGTCACTATTATTTCCATACTATTCTGGACATAAAGATCCCAATCTCTAACTTCGGTAGTCATGCCATTTAACATCTTTAATATTCTTTGAAAGAAATTGTACGTGTAGTTGGAAGATGTGAATTTTAAATAAAAGTTTTTCTTTGGTTAGAATAGAATAATATACAATTTTATCTTCTCGTAACAAACGATACTCTTATATGACTTCACAGGTCGTCACAAGTTAAAGAAATTGATAATCCCCATGCTGCTGATCCTGAAGCTGTTCAAGCTGAAGCTGCTACTTTTCCTGCCCCTCATACTTGGACTCGCCAGCTTTAAGAAGTTCCTCGGATTTATGGCTTTGATTGTACCAGGTAACATAAATTGTTATCCCTTGTCTTGTCGAAGTAAACAATTTTGTTGATCTGCTTGTAATATGGAACAAAATTTGAGTACCTATAGATTATGGTAATTTTCTATTTAGAGTCTGAAGATCTATTTTCATACTCATACACCACAAGTGTATGACGACAAATAAGAAACCACGAAAGTTTCTTCTAGGTAGCTCAGTGGGAGAATAAGAGCCATCGTAGCTCAAAGAAAGACTGGGAAAGTGGAATCCCTGAGGTGGCATGTACCTATGACCAGAGATGGGCAGTGGGTTAAACCCTAATCAACCCACCCGAGTTTTAACCGAGTTTTTACTTTAGTTCCGGATTTTAACTCATTTCTGTCCAAAATCGTGGGCGGAAACGGCGAACATGGAATTTAGTGTAATTCCATAATGTACTTATTTCGATGTAAAAACTCATTTCATAGACGAAAAAGAGGCAATTAATCCACACAATACTTGCCTTGCAAGCCCGTGGATTCTCACTACTAAGGAATCACGAGTACGATCGATTTTTATAAAAATCGATTCGAGTGCATCCAATTTAACGATTTTTGTGTCAATTTATTTCAATGCAATTTTCAACCGAATCCACATAATTGAAAGGCAAATCGAATCTGCTAGATCAGAAAGCAATAAACATTTTGTAACAATATCATAAAATTTTGACTCGATTTACAACAAATATAAGTTGTAAATAATTTTTGCCCATGATTTTAGGCATTAATGAGTTTTAACCCGATTTAACAAAGCACCTGATTAAACCTCGGGCGCTTGCGCCTCTCTGCCTATGACATTACTTTTTAAGTGAAATCGTTTGGCATACAGTGAAGGCTAAATAGTGATACCTTGCGCTTACAAAATGTAACATGATGAAACCTGCATAGATAGAAAACAGATGAAATGCCCAACCCTCATAAGGTCAGCATGGCGAACTACGACCAAAACCTTCTTCATAGGAGACCCGAAACCAAAAAGTGGGAGGTATGATGTGTTGGTGGTGATCGCTTCCCCTGTAAGTCCCAAAAGCAAGTAGGAGTAAACCAAGGAGATGGACATCTTTGTATATATTAAATTTATTATCACGATATTTTACTATCACGATATTCAGTTGCCTTTAACCGACTTTAAAAAAGGAGGAGATTCTCAACTCGACTGTTATTTTTTTGTGTGTATAATGGTACGCGATTACTCCGGCCATTACCGAAATTCCCATTTCAATTTGAAGAAAATATTCCACCTTGGGGGTGAATCCGGTTTCGCGCACTTTCCGTCAACCAATTTCAATAAAACTTAGCAAATAGATAATTATTTTATTAAAAAACACAATCATTTGTATAATTACTCCACTAGTTTATTATAATTATGAATACAAAAATCAATCACTAAGAAAAGTTTCTTCGATACCTTCCGCATACAGTCTAAGGAGACTTTCAGGCACTGTATACGGAAGGGAGTAGGGACTGAGCTACGGAACGAACCAGCAGACCTTACAAATTTTTCTATGTGCTTAATGGGTGCTACATAGAAAATGTGTGCGACATGACTAATCAGCAGCTCGCTTTGTGCAACATCTCTAATCAAAGACTCAAAGACTAATTTATGGTATTTCTACCCCCAGGAGTAATCGGTTACTTCAAGTTCTGCAAGCCGAATCTGACGTCACCGTTTGCGTCCAATCACTACTCTGGCCCACAGTATAGTCCTGCTGGCATTGGTTTGGGACCTTACAGGGAACATCCTCCACAACATTATGGAGGACAGCATTATGAGAGCTATCCGGTAAGTTACGTTACCACAACTTACGATCTCAATAATATAAAGGCTATGACAGGACCAGTAGGACGTTCAGAGTGTGGTTCACTCGTATAGTTGTTTAGAAAAATAAGGTTCTTTAAACTTATACTGTTCTGCTTATTCTGGGTAGGGCCGGGGGATATTTCGTTACTGGTACTTACAGATTGTATTGTATGTATAGATCTCAAACTAGAGAAGTACCTGTATTACGAATACCAGGCAACGGAATTCATTCGGCACACTACCCAAAAGACCCAGACCAGAATTTCCTAAATTTCCTAAAGAATTTATCTAACTATATAAATTGGTCATACCTGAAATCGAACCTAGGACCTCGTCCAAATCTCCGACAAGCACACCGGTCGCTTACTTTGTTTTACCAGATATGCTTTTAATAAAATCTATTCATCAAAGAACTTTAATGGGTAACAGCTTAAGTTAGATCTTTTGACGTAAACAGGACAAATAAAATTCGATTAAGTTGACGCTTAGAAGTTGAGCTCTAAGCATTTGCAAGCAGATCTACGATCGAATCTTGGTTAACACAATTGAAGAAAAACTTTTTCACTTGCTTCTGATTTAGGTGTTTTGGACAATTTCAATATGAATTATGTGAACTGCGTACTTAAAATACAGCAGACAATATTGTGATTAATAACTGCCTCTGTGGCCGTGACTGACTGTCACCATGCTGGTCTACCACGTAGAGGTCCCGGGTTCGATTCCCGGGGCGGGAGAAACGTTTGTATTAGGTCATACAAATTTATTTCTATCGTGAGTTTAGGAGTAATTTGTGGTTGTCTAGGTCAAGACTATCAGTGTGTGCGTTATTATTATTATTAATTTTAATAATAAAAATATTAACAGGGTGGTCACAAATACGGCTCGGGAGGCGTTGCGTTCAGAGACCACGACCACTCGCCTCAGGACTTGGCGTACCAAGGATGGGAGTACAGAAACAAAAAAGGAGGAGAGGAAATTAAGGCCGGAGATGGAGAAGCCTAAAGACTGACTTTTAAGTTTTATTTTATTTAACATTTAACTATATTTTTTATGAATGAACCATCGACATATCGCTTATCTACCGAAAAAAAAACATTGTTACGAAGGGTAGCGATCCATGTATGAAATTGGACAGCTTTTATTTGTACAAAAAAGAGAAAACACGGTACATAAATATATGTATAAACGCTTTAACAAAGCAACTTAACGAATTTTCTGTACATTACGTATTAGGTGATTTTAAAATTGCATTATGAAGACGAATTAATACAAATGGAACACATCCATAGAACATGTACCTTCAACACATATATAATATGAATTTCCTATACCCTTAACTATGCATGACTAAGGAATATGAGATCTATAGCTAAAAAGTGAGGTCGTAATCCGGATCTAGAGAACATGTACGTAATAGAGTCGTTACGTCGTATGGTACATGTAAACAACCATTATGTTACGTCCTTGTTCACTGCGCCGACGTTTGTATGCGATAATGCTGGCTGTTACGTCTCATGTTGCTCAAAACAAAGTAAATGATAATATTCAAGTTTACTAAGCACTTTTGGAAAATGTTAAACACGTTTTAGCGAAACATGATTACTACAAATTCCGCTGGCCCAGCCACCCATAGCCATCGAAACGACGTCAACGCCGTTGTCTTCGGTCCTGTAGTGTCTCGCGCCAATCTTTGGCTTGAAGTTCGCTCAGGACCCAATTTCTGCTAATTTTCTTGACAACATTGGCCATTCCACTGAGACTCAACTGAAATTATATTGCAATTATGACAATATTTGTTGTTCTGCTAAAATATAGTTGCAATGGCAGTTGAGTCTCAATAAAGTATCAGTGGAATGACAGTGATAGCATTCATCCTGCTGCCAACTTTGCGATGGCTCTGTCCACCTTGGATTCAATTGACAACCGTGTCAGGAGGCTTATAGTAACTCGGAATTAGTGGAGGCGAAGCTGCAGAGCCTTGAACACCACCGTAAATTTGGCTGCCTATCGGTATTTTACAGGATATAACACGGAGAGTGTGCGATGGAATTACACGATTTAATTCCGCCTTCCCCTTTCCATCACCGGGGACTAGGCGTAGGCTTGGGTTCCACCCCTATGTTGTGGATATTCCAAAGATTCGCACGAAATGTTACGCTTCCACGTTTATATGGCGAACGGCTATGGGGTGGAATTCCTGCATGCAGACTTGTTCACTGAACGTTATAACTTGGGCATTTTCAAGGCGAGAGTGAATAGAATTATTTAGGTGTGCATGCTCTATCGTCACTTGCCATCAGGTAAGATGGAGGTCTAATGCGCACTTACTTTTATAATTTAAAAAAATTATCTCAATCACTGATGATCGATAAGGCCTTACAAAAACTACCATGGAAATTACTACACATTTCTTAATTTTTGCCTCGTTTAACTTACACTACGCCATTGACGTGCCAGCAGAATTCCAAAATGGCGTTGAATAGTGCCTCGATGGCTAACCACTGGTAAGCCACTAGTCTTAACTTTTAGAGGAATACCAAACGTACAAATTCCTGGCATTGACAATTGATCGGCACACAACTGAGATGATTGAAAAATTAGCAGGCTTGGGGCCAACTACCACGGCTTCTTTGTCCAGTGTTCTAACTCTGATAGGCTCTATTCCGAGCCATAAATGTCTTTGCGCTTTACTTTCGCGATCACATTTAGCTGGACAATAACCTCTTCTAATTCCTTATAATAACTGCCTCAGTGGCCGAACGGTTACTATCTGCCACTGCCACGCAGAGATCCCACGTTCGATTCCCGAGCCGGGAGAAATATTCGTATGGCTTACATTTATTTCTCTCGTAAGTTTGGGTGTAAATTAAAAATTAGTAATAGTCCTACGAGGTTGCTTATATTTTACAAATAACCCTGAATAACGATATCCAGGCAGTAAATTTTCAAGTATTATAACCAGACAAGAATGAGATGGTCTACTAGACTGTTAACACGATATTTAAGAAATATCTTTAGGTACCGTCTGTTGTCTTCTTTTTTGGATGGCGTTTACTTGTTGTTTATTTTTTGCTGTAAGTATTGTCTCTATTCGCTAGGTGGTCAGTATACAAGTGACCATCCAGCCTGTTATAAAGCTGTTATGTTTAACATTGGTTGCTTTTAGGTAGCGATAGCATTATGATGATGTATTAAAATACTCAGTGTTAAAATCAGAAATAAATCATAGTCATTCATTAATTTATTTTAATCATGTGCTTTGTTATTATTTATTATAAGCAATGTACGAATAAGAACTGTAAGTATTTTGTAAATAAATTATTTGTTTCGTAAACCTGTTTTAATCGTTTTTTTTTTAAACTCATCGAAGATAAAACTGAACTGACAAGCTTTATGTCCTAGTCGGGAAGTTTCAGAAAGTTTTGCAATTATTTTTTTTGTGTTTGAAATTTCAATTATCATCTTTTTTGGAGATCGGATCTTCGTCGTAAACCCTATAGGGTTTTTCACATTAGACGACACGACACGATGACGATAAATGACTTATTAGTATGACGCTGTAAAACAGAGTTTTACCATAATATGTAACATAATAAGACAAGTACGGTAACTCCAACAAACGCAGCAGCAGTGGCTGATTGCAGTCTTGGCCACCCTAGGCCCCAGGCCATGTAGTCGGTACCAGCCGCCCCTTTCTCAGCGCTTTGTTGCCAACTTTTATCGAAATTCATTCAGAAATTTAGTTAACTATAATAACTGCTTAGGTACTTTGAATTATTTATTGTCATCATCAGTGAATTTTTTGTCACGATTGGCCGCCCCTAAAATCTGGCCGCCCTAGGCCCGGGACTATTGGGCCTTAGGGCAAATCCGCCACAACGTAGCAGCGCGGCTTATATGTGTGCACGCGCGGCCTATACGGACGCACACATTCGCATAACACAACATAACATTCGCACATATCTGTAATTTGGCACCATATGTATCGTGTCGCCCTCATTTTAAATCATTTAAAATACTACCCTAAAATACTACCTTGTTTTAGTTCAATCAATTTCTTAATGTATTGTATTTTGCTTGTTGTTATTTAAAACTAAATAGAATTAAGTTCTCTAAAGTAATTACCACCAACATTTATAATGACCCACCTTATTTAAAAGAAATTAAGTAAATTATATTTCTAATTTATTCTATAATAATGAAAGGCGCGTGAGACGACCAGCAACCCAGCAACTATGCAACGCATGCTTCGCGAGATTACGCGAATGTGTGCGAAGTTTAGGCAGTTTTTAGTGGTGAAACAAAAAGGTTAATCCATACTTGCTGATACAATTTAATTTCTCAAACATATTTCGAAGCAGTACAGCTCCATGTCACAGAGTTCGTCTAGGGAAGTACTGCCACCTCACTTATTTCTGCGGTAATATGAACATTACTACATTCTAGGAATGGGTATCGATTAATCGATAAATCGGATAATCGATGATTTCATACCGATGTATGCTAAAAAAAGTAAAACTATATTTCATAAAAATATTTTATAAACATGTTAAAATTTGGAAAAAAACGACCGCTTTTAAATCCAAATGTTCATTTTATTTAGTCGATTTTCGAAAAATGAGACTTGCATGCACCAGAAAGATGGTTTACATAAGCTTGTGACAGTGTGACCTCCTTGCACCTTGGAGCGGTTGACTTCTCTTTAAATAAGCCTTAGGTCACTATTACAATACATTCCGATTTTATTTCCCTGATTAGTTATTTTCCATTTAAACCTTTACAAGGTTCTTCAATGGCGACCGCGCACCGGACGACGCTCAGTGGGTAGGCCCCCCACCAGGTGGACCGACGATCTGGTGGAGGTCGCGGGAAGCCGATGGATGCGGGCAGCGCAGGACCGATCGTCGTGGAGATCGTTGGGGGAGGCCTATGCCCAGCAGTGGGCGTCGTATGGCTGAATGATGAAGGTTCTCACGTCTCTGACGTGCTGCTGTACCTAGGCGTACAGACCAGTGGGCATTGAACCACTTGTACATAGCATCATATCACTAATTTCATAATGTTGGCGGGTGGTGACCAACACAATTTAAAGCCTGACACCGTAGTGGGCGGCTTCGTGAGAAACTCCCTTTAACTCTAGTTAGGGTTTTCCTCTATTATGAAAGGTTTGTATATGTGCGGGAATACGAAAGGTTCTGTGAATGTAGTATGAAATGGGTACGAAAGGTTTTTGTGAATAAAGTATGAAATTCAAGTCGACCCAATGTAAATAGCATTATTTATCATTCACATATCTAAATTTGTCACGCATCGTCATTAAAACTTCCAATTCTCTGATTACCATAGCCATGCTACATTAGCTACCTTCCCATCTATTACTATATTCCTCCTCTATTATTACACTTGCTTTATTCCTTCTTTGCTATTTCTCTTGCTTTATTCCTTCTTTGCCATTACTCTTGCTTTATTTCTTCTTACTATTACTCTTGTTTATTCCTTCTTTTTACTATTACCAGAGAATAAAAAATAGAGAACGGACACTCGCCGCCCCTCCCTAGTTGTAGATACCGCACCACGATCCGCACATTGCCGGTCACATTGACTGAACGACAACAAGGCTGCCGGCGAGCCGTTTTCGCGCGAAGACGGCTTTGATATTTGAATATAGTTTTCATTGATTCATTACGAAACTTGTACGTTAATATAAACCATCATTTTACATTACTATTTATAATGGTCGTGAATAGTGCTGTGTACTGCTGTTTATCATCATTTTCCGAAAGATGAAACAAAATAAGTAAAAAAAAAAACTTATGTCTGAGACTCATTCAGTTATTGTTTTCTTCATTTATTTACTGCAGAGTAATATATGTATGTACGTATAAAAAATACGGATTTATTATATCAATATAATGAGACGCCATGACTTCGCGAATTTTCAATTCGTATAGCTGGTAAATATTGCGCAGGTAGTGAATATATCTAATTATTAACTAAACTTGAACAAGCAATTTCAAATACCTTGGTTACGTTACTTAAAAGTACATGTCCGAAATATAACGTTTTAAGTGCTTTTAATATATTTTTGAAATTAATCTTCAATATTACTCTAGTTAGGGAATTAATGAAAAATATAATAATATATCGATATAGATACCTAATAGACAAGTATAATTATTAGGATACTATTAATATACTCATAGATAATAGATTCGCGTCAGAATTTTCACTATGTTGCCGCTCTAACCACGTAACGTATTAGTGCGAGAAAGTGTGTGTGTTATTGTGACGCTGTGATCTCCTTGCATCGTCATCCCAGCTTTTTATTTCAATTTCTTATTTTATTCTCAAATTCAAATTTTTACATTCAAATTCAAATTCAAATTTACATTCAAATTTTGAATTGTTCCATTCTTTTGCCTCGCATTCTGATTTTGTTTCGTTCCATCGACACTCCCTGCCCGATCGCGGTAGCGAACACATCTCTTCTTATCCTTTTGAACCTTTTACTAGTTATATTTAGACCGTTTACATTTTAAAGAAAAATTACGTATATTATTGTTAAGCCTAAATAAATACCTATAAAACTGGACTTTCAGCTTTTGAACCACTAAACTTACTAAGTAAAATGTATGGAGGCTGCGGAGTGTACTACTACTCTCCAGGCTACATTACTATTATCCCACAGAACGCCACCAGCACCAGCAGCCCTCTTACAAGCTAATCATAAAATTTGTCTCCACCGCCTATGAAAAATTTATAATTAATACTAGTGTCTTTATTTTACTTTTACTATTTGTTGTAATTTGAAATAAGGCGGGAAATGAGGGTTATGTTACGAGGTTCCCATTCATGCCGCCTGAGCCGCCACAGGTGGCGGCGGGGTTTCTAAAAACCCCGGTACTATCGCTTAGACTTAATGGAGTATTGCCTAGCTCTCTCTACACCTACTTATTTTTTTCAACTTTAGAAATCACGTAAACAAAGAAGCAGGGTTTGTAAATCGTAAGAGATGAAAGTGACGTTT